GGGGGGGGAAGGGAATGTGACTGAGTGCAGAGGGGGCCCCCCCGGAGGAGAGCGGAGCGGGCAGCGCCCTGGAGGGAGGGGAGGGGAGGGGGGGGGCCTAGCAGCTCACCGTCCTTGTTCTGGAGGAGAATGGCCAGCACTTCGCTGCAGTAGAGCTTGTTGGCGTCAAAGGGCATCTTGGCCTGGGGGGTGGGGGGGGGAAACAAGAAGCACAAAAGGGTTATCGAGGGCTCCGAAGCGCCCCGGGGTGCCCCAACTGCATGACTCTTACTCTGATACCAGACTGATAAGAAGATAAGAGCATCAGAAGAGCCCTGCCGGATCAGACCAGTGAGGGGCCTCCTAAGTCCAGCATCCCGTCTCACACACTGAGCAGCCAGCTCCTCCGGAGGTCCAGCGACAGGGCAGAGAGGCCGAGGCCTTCCCCTGAGGTTGCCTCCTGGCTCTGGGATTAGTGCCTCTGAGCGTGGAGGTTCCCCCTCAGTCACCACCGACAGACGTCCTGTACAAATCTTATCTAGTTCCCTTTTAAAGCTGTTTATTCTTGTGGCCATCACGAATTCCACATTTTAATCACTCTCTGTGCTATTTCCTTTTGTCTGTCCTGAGATAGACAGACAGACAGACAGACAGACAGACAGACAGACAGACAGACAGAACATAATGTATCTACGTATATGTATTTAAGCTTGTTTTAATGTTCTTATTGTTCACCACCTTAAGGACCCTAATTTGGATGGAAAGGTGGATTTAAAACTTAAAAAAAAAAAAGTAAAATAAGTAAACTTCAATCCTTGTTGTTACAAACACTGCTTGAGGCTGAGCCACCCAGCAGACCGTGGCATGCAGCACCCCAACCCCCCGGGAAATCACGCTGACCCACAGCAGGACGGACCACTCACTGCAGAAACGGTGTGCACATGGGCACCACGACACCCCTCCCATCATGTGGGCTGGAGCCAGAGCCGTGGCAGAAACGGACGTGCTGCAACAGGTGGACCGTCTGCACATGCTCTCCAGAGAACTCCTGCCGTGGAGCTGCCTCTGGCGGAATAGCCAGCTGTTCGCCCTCTGGACTGAGAGGGAGGACTCTGAGGCAGGTGCGGTTGGCATTTCGATACCTCTACGTAAACCTTGCCCTCCCCTTTACGAATTAATCCCAGAGAACCAAAGGGATGCGTGAGCACACCCCTGTGCGAAGACAGGAAGGAGACTGGCTTTGGAAGAAGAGTTGGTCTTGTACTCTGCTTTTCTCGACCTTATGGAGTCTCTGAGCGGCTTACCATCGCCTTCCCTTCCCCACACCACACCAGGCACCTCATGACGTAGGTGGGGATGGGAGAGTTCTGAGGGAACTTGTGACTGGCCCAAGGTCATCCAGCTGGCTGCATGTGGAGGAGGAGTGGACAATCAAACCCGGCTCTCCAGGTTGGAGTCCACAGCTCTTAACCACTAAACTACGCTGGCTCTCTTTTGACAGGTCCTCAAGCCTTGGGCCCAACGAGCCAGTGACTGGACTTTTGACTCAGCCGCCCAAGAACCCTGGCTTTCAGTTTTAAGGAAGGCCCGAGTTCTCCATTGGGTTTGCCAACCTCCAGGCGGAGCCTGAAGATCTGCTTGTACACTTGATCTTTAGACTACACAGACCACTTCCCCTGGGGAAAAGTATTCCCTGCCAAAGTCCCTGCCCTCCCCAACCCCCAAATCTCCAAGTATTTCCCAACCCACAGGTAGCAACCCTATTCATGGTTCTCACGGGGGCAACTATCGGCTCAGAGGCATGAAGGACTTGCGAGGCTTCCAGCAACAGAGCTGGGCGAAGTGTCTGAGGCACGTGGACATCTCCCAGAATCACAGAGTTGGAAGACACCTCCAGCGGTCATCTAGTCCAACCTCCCGCATAAGGCAGGGGATTCACAAACACCTCCCCCCACACACACACACGCTGTGACCAGTGTTCCCTCTAAGCTGAGTTAGTGTGAGCTAGCTCACAGTTTTTTAGCCTCCGGCTCACACCTTTCTGTCTTAGTTCAGGAAAGACGGCTCCAGAGCAAACTAATTTATGCAGTAGCCAAATCGCTCGCTCACAACTATAAAGCCAGTAGCTCACAAAGTAGAATTTTTGCTCACAAGACTCCACAGCTTAGAGGGAGCGTTGGCTGTGACCCCTGCTCCACGCCCAGAAGATGACCAGAAAAGCCTCAAGGATCCTGGGTCCTTCCCAGGCCTTGCAGTGTGAAAATGGGTTCCAAGATCCCCACGCAAAGTCCTGGGAGAACGGACCCCCCCTTCTTCTCACTAGCACTGAGGCTTCCCACGTGCCACTGGCTGGATGAGACGCCACCTGAAGCCAGACGCCAGCCCCGTGGTCTGGGCTGAGACCAGTCAGAGTGGCTGGGAGCCTGCAAGGGGGCGAGGGGCGGAGCAAGGTGGCTTCTATCTACAGTAAAAGGAGCAAAAAACCACAAGCAAGCGTAGGAGTTGCTCTCCAGTGATGCAAATCCTGCACCAGCGCAGGAGCAGAGCATCTGAGAAGAAGAAGAGGAAGAGGAAGAGGAAGAAGGAGGAGGAGGAGAGGAGGAGATTGGATTTATACCCCGCCCTTCAGTACCCAAAGGAGTCTCAGAGTGGCTTAACACACTCCTTTCCCTTCCCCTCCCCACCACAGACAGACACCCTGTGAGGTAGATGAGGGTGAGAGAAACTGCTCCTGAGAGAACAGCTCCGAGACAACTTGTGACTGACCCAAGGTCACACCAGCACCTGCATGTGGAGCAGTGGGGGAATCAAACCCGACTCTCCCAGATTAGAGTCCGCGCACCTAACCGCTACACCAAACTGGCATAGGAGCTGCTCTCCAGTGACGCAAGTGCGGTGCCAGAGCAGGAGCAAAGCATTTGTGGAGGCTGAAGGGTCGCCAAATTCATGCCCAGCCGGTCGGCAAGGCCCTCTGAGTGACCCTCCTCGCCGCCTGCTGCCCCACCTCCGGTTGCATCATCAGAATCCGGCCACCAGGAACTGAGAAAAGCATGAATCCCGCACAAGCGGATAGGAAATGTGTCTGCAAACAAGACGCTGTAACACGATGAGCCTGATTTGCACAGGTTTCTAAGGCGGCGGGATAATTACAAAGCGGGGGGGGGGGGGGACAGAGGGTGTCCTTACGCGATCACCTGCCACAAGGGAGCACAGGTTGCTCCTGCTAACAAGGACGAGGGGTCACACAGGAGGCACCCGCAGGCCTTGGCAGTCGCTGGAACCGACTCAGCTGCCCTCTGGAGTGAGTCAGGGCATTTGTGCCAGGCACAGAGGTTGCCACTGCTCAGCTCACCGGGGGGGAGGGGGGGAGACGACAATATTTACCATACCCCCCAGGACACGAGGCAGCTACCAAAGCAACAAGAAGTTGCAAATGCATAAAAACAATCTTACGGCAAATCACCAGGAGGAAAATGACACAGCCAAGCCTGCATAAATCCTCCACCACATGCACTTCCTACAACAACCCCAAGACCTCTTTCTGCTGGATAACCTTGGCCAAGCCTTAGTTCTATCAGAGCTGTTCTTGAAAAAGAGCAGTTTTTCTGTCAGAGCTCCCTCAGCCCCACCTACCTCACAGGGTGTCTGTTGTGGGGAGGGGAAGGGAAAGAAGAAGAAGAAGAAGAAGAGAAGAGATTGGATTTATACCCCGCCCTTCACTTGGAGTCTCAGAGCGGCTTACAAACTCCTTTCCCTTCCCCTCCCCACAACAGGCAGGCACCCTGTGAGGTTGGTGGGGCCGAGAGAGCTCTGACACAAACTGCTCTTTTTCAAGGACAGCTGTGCCAGAGCTTGTGACTGACCCAAGGTCACATCAGCAGGTGCAAGTGGAGGAGTGGGGACTCAAACCCAGTTCTCCCAGATTAGAGTCCGCACACTTAACCACCACACCAAACTGGAGAAGGTAAGCCGCTCTGAGACTTCTTTGGGTATAAATCCAATCTCTTCTTTTTAGCCACAAGGTACAGGTAGGAACTCTCGGTCTGCGGCAAGGGATGCGCTGTATTCTTGGTGCTGGGGGGCGGGGGACAGTGGGAGGGTTTCTAGAGTTCCGGCCCTGCTGGTGGGCCTCCTGATGGCCCCTGGTATTTTTGGAATTGGATAAGCATATGGAGCAGAGGTCCATCAGTGACTATTAGCCACAATGTATGGATAGGAACTCTCGGTCTGGGGCAAGTGATGCTCTGTCTTCTTGGTGCTTGGGGGAGCAACAGTGGGAGGGCTTCTAGTGTCCTGGCCCCACTGCTGGACCTCAAGATGGCACCTGGTCTTTTTGGCCACTGTGTGACAGTGTGTTGGAGTGGATGGGCCATTGGCCTGGTCCAACACTGGCTTCTCTTATGTTCTTATAAGAGGGAATTGGATGAACATATGGAGCAGAGGTCCATCAGTGGCTCTTAGCCACAAGGTATAGATAGGAACTCTCGGTCTGGGGCAAGGGATGCTCTGTATTCTTGGTGCTTGGGGGCAGGCAACAGTGGGAGGGCTTCTGGAGTTCTGGCCCCACTGGTGGATCTCCTGATGACCCCTGGTATTTTTGGTCACTGTGTGACAGTGTGTTGGACTAGATGGTCCATTGCCCTGATCCAACACTACCTTCTCTTATGTTCTTATGTTGTATTTCTGCACTTTGTTGTCCTACTGTCAAGCTAAACCTGCCATGCCTTGGAATGTGGGAGGGGGAGTCTGACCTCTGTGTTCCTCCACCCACCCACCCCAGTCTCCCCTGCCTTTGCTATCTGCCTGGTGGCCTTGAAGGCTTGACGCTCCCTGGTCCGCTTTTCCCGCTGGGAACCTAACTGCTGCTTTTTTGCCTGAGCTTCTAAGGGCTTGGTTATTGGGCTTGAGATATCAGGGGGTCTGGTTTGAAGGGCGTAGATCTGTAACCCCCATTTTACTTTTAGTTATTCCTGACTCAGAGCTCATGGTACCACCAGTACTGACCTCGATAAACTGGACTTTATCAAGGAACGTTATTGAGTGTTTGATTGGGAGGCCTGAGACCTAGAGATGTGAAAGCCCAGAAAAAACCCGGAAAAATTCAGGGGGGGGAACGAGTTTTTTCCCTTTTTTTTTCCTGAAGCCCTTTTTGTTTTTTTCCAAAAAATTGAAAAAATTGAAAAAAGAAAAGAAAAAAAAATGATTATGGAACGTTTTATTCTAACATGATGAATAAAATATTTTAAGACAAGGTGTTCAAATATTTTCCAAATCATTTCTAAAAAATAAGTATGGTATCAGATTGATCTAATTTCTGTGCATTGAGGACAAGCAAGTCCTAGGTTACAAACAGAACTCTCCAATGCAAGAACAAGATGCATTTCTTCCTTTAGGAGATGCTATTGTCACAAGAAAAGAAAAAGGTTTTGGTTTTATTTTTGCATCTGGGTGGGTATTTTGTTTGTAATTATTGTTTGGATACACTATATTTTTAATATGCTAGTTGTGATAATTTCATGCCAAGTAAAAATGTCCATAGTCTATGTTCCTAAAGTAACAGAATGACTTTCAATCTGGAAAAGAAAAAAAGAAGTGCCAATGTCGCATTTTTTTCAATTCTTCCGAAAATTTCCATCCCCCCCCCCCCAGAAAAAACCGGGGAAAAACCGGGAGGTTTTCCGAGCTTCAAAATTTCTGGAAATTTTACATCTCTACTGACACCTACCTTAAGCCATGCTGTGTGTCCCTGTCCCCCCCCCCCCGGGTAAAAGGGCCCACGCATCTGTTCCCTTTCCCCCTTCCCGCAGCCGTCAGACATCAGGGCCCAAGCTCTTACCTTCAGCCTCTTGAGGAGCCATTGCATGAGCCCCTGCTGGGCAGCGTCAGAGCACATCTCCGGCCGGAACTCAGCCATGTTCTCAATGATCGCTGTGGGAAGGAAGGATGAAGAGGGATGCGTCAGCTTGGGAACTCCCACGCCACCAGCACGTTCCACAGTCAGAATCAGAGAGTTGGAAAGGGACACAGAGGCCATCTAGACCAACCCCCCGCTCAACGCCGAGCCTCCCTGGACAGTCTTTGTCCACAGATTCAGGCAGGTAGCCGGGCTGGTTGGAAGCAACAGAAGACAGTTGGAGTCCACCGGCACCTTTGAGACCAACAAAGTTTAATTCTGGGCATTAGCTTTGGTGTGCACGCACACTTCTGATGCCCAGCATTAAACGTCGTTGGTCTTAAAGGTGCCACCAGACTCAGACTTTATTCCAGTGTTTGTCCAGCCGCTGCTTGGAGACTGACAGTGAGCGGGAGCTCATCACCTCCAGAGGCCGCCCACTCCATTGCCGAACTACTCTTACTGTAAAAAAAACCCAACATTCCTAATATCCAGCCGGTACCTTCCCCCCCTAGAAGAAGAGGAGGAGGAGGAGGAGGAGGAGATTGCATTCATACCCCGCCCTTCACTACCCAAGGGAGTCTCAGAGCGGCTTACAAACTCCTTTCCCTTCCCCTCCCCACAACAGACACCCTGGGAGGTAGGTGGGGCTGAGAGAGCTCTTTGAAAACTGCTCTTGAGAGAACAGCTCTGAGAGAACTTGTGACTGACCCAAGATCACACCAGCAGCTGCATGTGGAAGACTGTGAGTCCTCTCCTCGGCTGCCAACAGGAACAGCTCCCTTCCCTCCTCTCAGTGACAGCCCTTCAAAGACTTCAAGAGAGCAATCATGCCCCCCCTCAACCTCCTCTTCTCCAGACTGATATCCCCAAATCCCACTCCCAGTGCCCCAGTGTCTCCCCCCTGCACCCAGAGCAGAGTCCGTGTTCCTGTTCCCCAGTGCTGGCCCCAAAAGGCTCACACTTCTGGGCCGACAGCGCCGGGGAGTTTTCCTATCCTTTCCCCTCCCAACATGAATACCTGGCCAGAGAGACAGAGAGACAGAGAGAGAGAGAGACAGAAAGAGACAGAGAGACAGAGAGAGAGAGAGACAGAGAGAGAGAGAGAGAGAGAGAGAGACAGAGACAGAGAGACAGAGAGACAGAGAGACAGAGAGACAGAGAGACAGAGAGACAGAGAGAGAGAGAGACAGAAAGAGACAGAGAGACAGAGAGAGAGAGAGAGAGAGAGAGAGAGAGAGAGAGAGATGGATCTCTTTAAATGAGCTCCAGACGACAGGCTCAGAGCGCGGGTGGGCCATTATGGTGTTGTGGAGCCCGCGTAATGGCTCGCCCCAAGGAAACACAGCTGATGCGAGCAACTCATCACCTCATCTGAAGACGGAGCTTCCCAAGGAAAAGTCAGGAGGAAAGGAAGCGGCACAGAGAGGGCCGGGCGGGCGGCAGGGCTCCTCTGCTCCCCTCGCTGGCACGCAGGACAAAAAGGAGGCTGAAAACAGCCACGGGTGTTCCTGACGCCAGCTCAACGCGGGTGCCGTCATTGCAGATCCCCGTGTCCGTCAGAGAGCCAGTTTGGTGTAGTGGTTAGGGGCGCAGACTCTAGTCTGGGAGAACCGGGTTTGATTTCCCACTCCTCCCACATGTAGATGCTGGTGTGACCCTGGGTCAGTCACACGGTCTCTCAGAGCTGTTCTCTCATGGACAGTTCTCAAGAGAGCTCTCTCAGCCCCACCTACCTCACAGGCAGGGTTCCTTCTAAGCTTAGTGTGAGCTAGCTCACAGTCTTTTAGCCTCCGGCTCACACATTTTTGCCTTCGCTCAGGAAGGAGGGCTCCAGAGCACACTAATTTATGCTGCTGCCAAATTGCTCTCTCACAACTTTAATGCCAGCAGCTCACAGACTAGAATTTTTGCTCACGAGACTCCACAGATTAGAGGGAGCATTGCTCGTGGGGCGTCTGTGGTTGGGAGGGGAAGGGAAAGGAGATTGTGAGCCGCTCTGAGACTCCTTTGGGTAGTGAAGGGAGGGGTATGAATCCAATCTCTTCTTCTTCTTCTCTTCCATTTTTTCCTTACAACAACCCTGTGAGGTAGGTTAGGCCGAGAATACGTCACTGACCCAACGTCACCCAGTGAGCTTATGTGGCAGAGTGTGGGGATTTGAACCGGAGTCTCGGTGTTCCTAGACCAGCGCTCTCACCACCACACCACACTGGCTTCTCTCGTCCGTCCATTTTTACTAACCAACTGACTGGGATCAGCTCCAAGGAACCCCTCTGTTGAAAATGCACCCCCTTACAAAAACGAATCATGTGCAGTGAAAGGAGTCTGCTGCTGCTGCGCCATTTTCACCACCAGGACAACCCGCAAGAGATTGCAAGCAAGCCAGAAAGAGCTGGGTATCTTTAGCCTGGGAAAGAGAAGGCTTAGAGGGGATATGATTGCAGTCTTCAAGTATTTGAAGGGCTGTCATGTAGAAGACGGAGCAGATCTATTCTCCCTTGCTCTGGAGTGCAAGACCAGAATGAATGGGTGGAAATTACAAGGGAGTCGTTACTGGCTAAAGATCAGGAGAAACTTCCTAACTGTAAGAGTGGTTGAGCACTGGAACAGACTGCCTCGGGAGGTGGTGGATGCTCCTTCGCTGGGCGTTTTCAAGCAGCGGCTTGACGGCCATCTCTCGGGTATGTTGTAGGGCTCTCTTTCAGCTATGCTCCTGCAGAGTGCAGAGGGGGTTGGACTAGTTGACCTGCAAGGTCCCTTCCAACTCTAACATTCTGTGACTCTATGATTCTATGAAACTATGGCACATCGAGTTTGGCTATCGGATACAATGATGAACTAAACCTGGTTGCGCAGGGGTTTACGTGTCAGATGAGCAGCAAGGAAACCTGGGTTCAAATACCCCGACTCCTGCCATGGAAGTTCACTGCGTGACCTGGGTCCACTCACACTCTTT